AATTACCCAACAATGATCTGCTCCACATTTTGATTCCAATTAAAATGTTTATAATAACCAAAAAAGACAATATCAATCAATACAAGTAAAAAATAGTACTCTGGTTAGTTATTAACATGTTTTCTTTAGGAGATTCAAACCAAACCAAAAAACAACACTCACGTTTGTCACCTTGGACTCTGTCAAAAAATAAATTGTTTTTCCAAGAAAGAAAAAAAATCAATTCGTGTCTGTCCTACCAAAAAAAAAAACCAATAGGGATAAATAATTGTGCTACACATCAATTAATTCATAAACTTTTTTTTTCTAAAAAATTTTTAAAGATGTCATCGTATGATCAGAAAAAAAACAAAAAAAGAAAAGCCAACAATGTTGCAGAAGCAACAAGACCCAAGTAAGTGTTTTAAGGATGGTGGTGGTGGTTATTGCCCGCCACTCGTCGTCACTCTAGTTAAAAATTACATAAATGAATTGATTGATAAATGTATGCAAATTTTATTAGGTCACTTAACAAAAGAATGAAGACTAAAGGATACCAAGAAACACTTTTAGACTTAAATAGATCATTAGAAATTAACCCAAATGATTCATGTGCTTTGAGTCATCGAGGATAAGTCTACCGCAAGTTAAATAGATATCAGGAAGCACTGGTAGACCTAAATAAATCATTAGAAATAAAACCAAATGATGCATTTGCATTGACTAGTCGAGGAGAAATTTACTATATGATAGAAAAATATGAAGAATCACTTGTGGACTTGAACAAATTATTGGAAATAAATTCGAGTGATACATGGGCCTTAGGAAAATGTGGGGATGTTTATCGTTTGATAAACAGACACGATGAAGCCCTTGCTGATTTAAAAAGATTTCTAGATATTAATCCAGATAATGATTTGATCTTGAGAATATGTGGAGAAGTTTATCGTAAGACAAATAAATATGAAGAAGCACTTGAAGTTCTAAATAAATCATTAAAAATAAAATATCATGTAAGAACATTGGAGATACGTGGAGAAGTTTATCGTATGATGCATAAATATGAAGAAGCACTTATTGACATAAATAGAGTTTTAGAAATAAACCCAAACAGTAGATTTGGACTACGATCTCTTGAAAAGATCGGGAAATATGATAAACGAACACGATTACGCCATGAACACTATTACAACATAGATTGGAACATGGATGATAATGCATATTTAGATTCTGATGTAAAAAAATGTGAGTATTGGAACCGTGATGTTAATTTCCGCAGCATTGATGAATTAAATCCTATTGAAATGTGTGGGGAATGTAATCAACCATGTAGCAGATATAGTGATAGTGATAATAGATGGTGTCAGCCGTGCAACTCCAAACATTTTCAAAATGATTTTTGTAAATGGATGAGTGGTAATGTTGATATTGATGATTTTATTGAAAAAATGCAACTTGCTGCAGACAGTTCAAACAAAGTAATTGAGTGGATCCCATATCACAGATTGAAGTATACAAAAGATATTGGTAGAGGTGGGTTTGAACCTGTATATGAAGCTTTCTGGCTAGATGGAAAAATTCATAATTGGAATGTTGGAGAATGGTGCCGTCTAGGATGCCAGAGAGTAGAATTAAAATTAATTGATTCAATATTTGACCTTATAAAAGAAGTTGAATCAAGTGTCCAAGTAGCGGACAATCCATTCTTTATCCAAGTTCTGGGGATTTCTCAAGATCCTCAAACACAAATTTACATAATAGTAACGGAGTTTGCGTCTGGTGGTAGTCTTCACAATCATTTAACCATCAACACTAATAATTTGACATGGGAAGACAAGATCAAACTATTATGGTGTATTAGCAATGGACTTTATTATTTGCATAATAAAAAGTTGATTCATCAAAACCTTTATCCTGGAAATCTTTTATTTACAGATAAAGGATTTTTAAACATTGGAAATCTTGGTTCACAATCTAATAAAATTTATGGACCTTTGGCTTACGTGGCTCCTGAAGTTTTAGAAAGGAAAATTTATACTATGGAATCTGACGTATATTCCTTTGGCATTATTAGGGTTTGTATTCATGAATATCATAAGGGTGTCACACAGGTCACACACTATTAAAATCAAGTGATCAACTCATGTTTTTAAGGGATTTTTTGCTGTCTTAATAGTGTGTAACCCCCTTAATGATATTCATGATATTCATGAATAAAAACCCTAGGCATTATAGCATATGAATTGATAACAGGAATTCCTCCATATAATGAGAATTCACATGACGATTATCTAGCATTGAGTATTTGTCAAGGTTTACGTCCAGTAATTCCCTCTAGTGTACCACTGCTATTAACCAGATTGATAGTGGAATGTTGGGATGCTGAGCTAGAGAAAAGACCAACTTCTAAAAAATTATTTACCATAATAAATAAATGGTTAATAAGCGTGGCACATGTGGTATTTGATGAATTTAACACATCAACAACAACACCACAATCCAACGCTGAAGATCTTGTTACCAATGATCTTCCATCACCACCGGATTTTAATTAGGTAATAAATTATGCAAATTTAATACTGATTGCTGTTATACAAACTATTCCGATTAACAAAACATCTTTTTAACCTATCTATTATGGTCCATTTCATTTATAGTCGAAATTTAAAATGTCAATCTTACATAACTGTGAAAATATTATTATTATTATTGTAACAATTTAACGTGATATATTTACCTTATAGAATGTGTAACATCTAATTAATTAGTATAACACATGGTTAATTATATTTGTAACACTCATATCTCACATAGTATTATTTATATTATTATTTATATCGTTATTTATATTTTATTTATATTAATATCATATCTATGTCCTATAATCTTCCGGATAGATTGATAAGTTTTATTAAGTTATATTATTATTTATATTATATTTATATTTTATTTATATTAGTTTATATTTTATTTATATTATTGTTTATATTATCAATCTGATGTATTCTTATAAAAGGACATCGATTTTAAGTCAATAAAGATTAACTTGTATTTTTACAATCATTAAAATACCGTTCGAGAAAACTATTATTGTTAAGAAAGTAAACATTACAATTATTTAAAAATTAAAAAAATAATAAAATTAATCTATTTTAATATTGCTTAACTCCTGAATAATATAATAAGGAATTCTCTTATAAGATTTATACATATTCTACTAGTTTTTAATTAATAAATGATATAGAAAATCAGAAAACAATAAATTTTACATACATATTCTACTGGGGTTGGTCACAATGGTTATAGTATAATCGTTGAAGATTTAGATAAACTTTAAAATGTAAAGGCTCAATAACCAAGCAGGTTGTGAGAATAATCTTTCCTCAATTGTATTTTCAAACACTCAATTAATGACTGATCAGAGAGTTTTTTTCATTTATATTAGTAAAAAATTTTTTTGTAAAGGTTCAAAGTTGTCAATTTTATTGATTTTTACTATTTTGGAGGTGTCACAAAAATTTCAAAATAACATTTATCCGCATATGGGAGTTGGACTAGGAAAATCAACCTCTCAGTTGATTTTTTTATTTTGAATTTTCTTACTTAATATTAATCTATTATACAAGGATTACAATTGGAGAAAAAATTGGATCTTGTTTGCTTAGTAGAGGAATGAGATATAGGGCTTGGAATACTTTTTTTGTATATTAAAAACATATGTGTAACCAATTTTAAAAGGATTGTTACTAAAAATAGATTTTTTGTCTGAGGGGTTGATTTTCCTAGTCCAACTCCCATATATGAAAATTTATTATTGATATTGTCTTTTTTGGTTATTATAAACATTTTAATTGGAATCAAAATGTGGAGCAGATCATTGTTGGGTAATT